CTGGAGCTGTATTCATTCATCCCGGAACCTGTAGAACTGGTTCTGTATGTTCTGTACCCCCTATATTCTCTCAGTCTAAATTTTGGCCTGGACTAATGAGTGACAGGAGGAGATCACATAAAATACTGGAAATTCAGGCCTTAGTTACTATTAGTTCTTCATAGACTTCTACAGAGAAGTTGAAATGTTGCATGAAGCGTTAACTTCTATTGCCACAGTTGTTACGGTTCTTTCTGAGTTTTGTGATGTGTAACAATACCTGTGTTTGAAAAACAATGTGTAAGTCCATCAAAACCTCTTACCCTACATTCTGTTACCTGTAATTCAAGATACCAAGTCAGCAATGTGTTTGGCTTACCTTCACTCCTGCTTTCTTGTAAAAGTCAAAATGTCTGTTGATTTATCACCAGCAGAGATTGCTGCCTTTGGAGTGGTTTTGTAAGCATGAGAGGAAGGTGCATAAGGGACAATGATGCTGCAGTATCTTTTATTCTCTCATCAGAGAGATGTATTAAATACAACAAGAAAAAATGCTTAAAAAGTTTAGCTGTTCTTTATACATTCGACTGTATGTGTCAGCACTAATAACTTAGTGTTCAATACAGCCATAAATGGTCAGACTTTTAGATGATCACCAGTTTTCTCATGTATTGTAAAGAAAGATGGATCTCTGATCAGATCCAGAAAATCTCTATCAAAAAAAAAAGTTGTTAAATATGTTTTGTTATATATATATATATAATTTTATATATATATAATATTATAATAATATAACCATTCAGGTTAAAACCTTCACCTTCTTAGCATATATCTTCTCTGGATTTATCACAGTTTAATGAATTAAGTCTTTGATATGTCCTTAGCACTTTTCTATAGGATGTGCTATTCAAGCTCTTCTTTTTGAAGAATCATACTCCTCACAAATCATCTCTATAAAGACACACATTTTCATATACAAGTAATTTTTCTGTATTGCTTCATACCAATTGCAAATATGGCTAGTATGGGTTTTTTTACACTAAACATTTACTGGAAAAAACAAGTAGTATCCAACCTTCTTGCAAGACAACCTTCTAAGTCTTTATGTACCCCAGCTTCATCAAACTGAGCATTTCTCTTACTTTCCTTGTAATTGTCACAAATATCAAAAGCTATTCCTGGAACCAGCATGCTGCTCATTAACTCAGTTCACTAGGGCATGAATAATAATCATGTTTGAATACAGTTGGCTTGTGTTGGTTCCTTTCTTCTGCTTGGTTTTGGTATCTGAGTATACTAAGGTTCAGGTAGCTTTCCTTGTCTTGTAAGATTATATCAAGTAGGCTGCTTTGGAAAATGAGTACTAAGTAAACTTACTACAAAAGCAGAATTAGATAACAAATACAGTTCTTTAATATTTAAAATTGATCCCTACAATAAAGCAAGGTATTGCACAAGTAAAGTTGAGCAACATACGAAAAATATGGGGATATATTCAAATTTGTTCAGTTGTAGTAAGGTCACTAGAGAGGAATAAAAGGTAGTAAGCTCACAAAAAGACTCCAGCTAATGTTTACACTGCAGACAGGTTTCAGTCACCTCTAAATTTTGTAGCAAATATTCTAATGAGCAGAAATTACTCCTAACTGTGTCCTCTTTCTTCATCTTTAAAAGTTGATGTCAGTTTAGTTGAAGTATTCAATTTTTTACTTAAAAAAACAGTTAAGGTAAGTTACCTAACTTTCTTAGGTAACTTACCTGTGCTCTGTTAATGTCTTTCCACAAATAGATGCAACTTAGGGCAAGGGTGTGTAAGGACCGGTAAAACCAGTTTTTCTTTGCTTTAGACTAAAACTTGCAGTGTTTCATATTCTTTGAGAGTATCCTGAATCTCTGCACACCAGGTCCATCTAACACACCAGCATATAAAGTTGAACCTTTTCCCAGTCTTACATGAATGACAAATTACCTAATGTTTTAAGTGCTGTTCTTTTTTACCTCTCTCTCTTTTTCTGTGTAGAATATTCTGTAGTTGAGATATGGCCCTCAGCCAAAGAGGAAAGGTTAAAATAGAACCTGTCTGTTGACAGAGCTATACCTCTGTAGTTCGTGGTTCTTAAAATATATTTAAATGACCTTCCGTATTTCAAAGAGTAGAAATGTCATGCTGGAGTTTGTTTCTCTCTCTTTAAAAAATTAGTGGCAATTTTAATTCATCTCTTACCAGAAGTTAAACACTGTAAACAAAACCTCAACTGACTTAAATCAGCAGTAACAGAACATGGTTAGTAGGAGCTGTTGTAATTGAAGTGTTTGACACAAAGGTTTCTTGGAGTTGAAAAGACAGTTTTCCTTGTTTTGTAGACGAGGAGTTTCATATCTGACAATTTCATTAAAGTGAAAGTACATTGTTGATAGAGATATAGTAGCTGTTTTTCTAAGAATTAGGTGTTGGCTGCATTAATGTTTACATAAATTTTGCTCACGTCATTCTCTAGCTCTTTCACTAAAACTGTAATAATTTATGTGAAATGCTTTTTATTTAGTCTGGTATACTCAAAAGCAGTCTGCAAGAGCTGGAATTAATTTCTGTAATTCTTTTTTTTTCAATCTGGAATTGTATTTAAATTTAATTAAATAAAATAAGAAACCTTTTTTTCGGTTCCCTGACTTTCATAAAAAGCACGCTAATTTTCTTTAAATTCTTGACAACATTAGAATTCATTTTCTCACTGAATCACATCTGAGAAGTACCAGAATATCAACAAGCCAGCTCCACAACCCACCAAAGTCTAATCAATCAGGTTCACAAGACGCATCTATATATCAGTCCCAGTGTCACCTTTGAAATATATAAAATCCCAAAAACAGTTACTTTGCAAACTGAATGTATAAAGTGATGCCTTTCCCTGAACTACATGATTCATCTAGCAAGCATATTTTACTTCATTATTCACAAGGGTTTATTTAAATTAGAAATCCAGCACTGACATAAACTACAACTTTTTGTTGTGCAAATTATTCATAGTTATTCAAGATATTGCATTATACATATGTTTCCCAAACATTATTATAAAAATATTAATGAAAAGCATGCTAACTGTAATAAAATACTATAAAAGGTAATATTCCCTGTATGGTACCTTCTACAGCAGTGTACAAATGCTTTAACAAGTGGATTAATAAGAGCTAGGAATCCTGGCAAATGTCAGTGCCAGGTAAGTTCAATTTACTGAATATAGCCTTTGCAAGGATTATGTTATATTTTGAACATACCTTTCAAATGGTTTTGCTGCTTCAGGATGCAGCAGACTTAACATGTACATTTGAGGGGATCTTGTTCAATTCTAAGAAGATGAGTGTTGACAAAAGTTGCATGTTTTGTATCAGCTGAAGTATTCACTAGTTGTCTTGTTGGGTCAAAACAGAGAGAGCACCACTGAAAAAAATGAAAGTACACTGTAGGCCAGATACACTGAGGAATTCTAATAGAGTACATACTGACCTACAGTTGGAATGTAGACACAAAACATACAGATCCACTGTACCATTCAGAAAAAAAACTGTTGATTTTTTGGGCTTCTTTAATGTAGAAGAACAGCACATCCTCCTTAGAGGGAAATTTTCATAACTAATGAATTTCTAGAGTCCTGCTGTTGTGCGTTTTTTCGTAGCAATAGAGGTTTTGTATGTGCTACACTACTAACCTGCCCTTGCTTCAGTTCTGATGATCACACTGCTCACACTGATGGCCTGATGTTTGATGATATGAATTGGCCTGATATTTGTGGTTTATTCTGGCAGCCCGAAACAGTGATCATGAACCTGAGGTTGAACATGAGTTATGGGGTGATACAGAGAAGCTTGCACTGTTGCTATAGCAAGAGTTAACTTCATGTGACACTTTCAAGCATTTACACAACTTCAGAGCATAAAATATGATTAGACAATACTTCCTTCATCCTCTCACGCTAAGAAATATTTGTTTTAATCCGTCTTCTGTGTCACCTAGTTACGGTCTTTGATCAGGCAACATGCCTAATGACAAACTTATGAAAGCAGGTTGAGTCGCCTTGTCTTTCAAAAATCCTGACAAACAAGGCTCCTTGATTTCCTATTTCAGTATCATACAGATAATTACAGCCAAAACAAAGATAAATTAAGTCATTTGCTTCTTCTACATAAATAAATGTGTGATACCTACTAAACATTAATGAGAGCATATCACTGAGCTGTAGGAAATTTGTGGCATTCTGCAACAGGAAATCCTAAAATACTTGCAAAAATTTTATAAAAGGTTTAAAAAGTAACAAAGTAGTCAACTTCTGCTTTGAAAAACAAGTGCCTTCCTCTGTTAGAGCAGCCTAAATTTGCCTGCTGCATCCATGAAAGCTGTTCATTCTGTGAAGGTCAAAGGTTTTGTTGTTGGTGAACCAGCTGATCTGTAAGCCCGTCGGACTGTACTGCTGAGCATAACAAACTGCTGTGCATTGCTGACGTGCGTCACAGGACCCTGGGGTTTTGCACGGGGATTAGTCAGGCTGTATTTGGAAACGCCCTCAACTGCACCCTGTGCTGCTATATTAGTGTTTCTCAAGCAAGAGGAATTTTCTTTTGCTTCTGCAGCTGCTCCTGCAAAACCCTCTGGTAAGTGTGCACAGCTTCTGTCAACAGTACCGACTGTCTTCTTGCCTGCATTTTTAAACCAAGGTTATGAGCTGAGGGCTTACTTGCAGTTGTTTACTGTGACAAACTGTATTTTTATATTAAAAATTTCATAGCACAGAATTAGCAACAGCACTAAAGGAATAAATATACAGTTTTAATTGAATAGGTTAATTCAGCTTAAATGTTCCTCTACTTTTAAATATGTATCAGAGCATTCTTAAGTGTTGGTATTTTCAGAGTGATGTCACTATGTACCATGCATGTCAGCTTTTATTTCTATACGGCAGGAATAGAAAGATCACAAAATATAGCAGACCAATTCTTAAAAGGATTTGGTTGGTTTTTGTTGGCAGCCTGCATGCAAGCCCTGCATCTCTGGACTCTGCTTGCCACCTATGCTGTTGCAGTAGGACAAAATCAAGGACAGAAGAATCAGGAGTGCCCTAAGCTCAACGCACAGGTACTCTCCTTTAAAAACACAAGAGCAAACACTGTTGTCATGTTTTCTATGAAAGCGCTCTCTCCAGATTTTTTTTAATTGGTTTTTTTTTTTTTGCAAACTAAGTATCAGAATCCAGCACGTAAAGTATAAAAAAGATGTAAATAAATAAAATAGGAAAAATCATTTTTAGTATGCATCGTATTCCATGTCTTAAAACAGCTTAGGCAGTGAAGCCACTTCAAGTTATTTCGTATAACCTGTGCTGGATATCTAGTTTGCTTATAGCATGTTATCAAGCACCTGTGAAGATGCTCAATGTTCCGTTGTTTCATTCACATAATAACTTTGCCTATTTAGTTTTTAGACAAGTCATCCTAAGGCTCTTTCTTGACATAACTACTAAAATAGTAATTTGGTAATTACTAGTTACTAAGGACTTCTTACCATGTTTGAGCTTGCAGCATATGAATATAAAATGTATTATGGTTTTGGTAATTATAAATTTTAAGTATTTGTCCTGAGCTCAGGTTATGCTAGCGGAGCACACAATCAGTAGTGCATTTCTTCTGACTAGCTGCACATAATGGAGTGACTGATGTGACCTACACTCATGTCCCGTAGCTTTTGATGTTCCTGTCTAAAACTTAAGCCTACTACTGGGGCTGCTAAGAGAAACCTCTGCTGCACTAATGGAACAAAATTCAAACAGTCTGAATTAAAGCCAATCTTGCTTTATACGTATATGAGCTTTTACATATGGTGGAAGAGATACACACACTCTTGTTCTGTGGGTTTTGTAACGGCTCCCCTGCTTCTTGCAACTCATACACTGCAAATAGCAGAAGTTACGTGAAGAAGCTTGCATGTATTTCTTAGAAGTTTTTTTAGAAAGCTTTGTTTTCTAGAGTAAATAATGTTCTGTAATAATAGGAAAAAAATGGGAGTGGAAAATAATATATAAATCAAGGAATGTGCTCCTTTTCTTTATAATTTCACCAAACTGTTACTTTCTTCCACCAAGAACACTAAAATCAATTTTCTCTAACTTCTGGGTATCAAATTTCACGGTTATCACTAATGCCATGCCCTGCCTTTTTTGGAATATGTCCTTAAGTGAGTATATGTGATAGCTAGTCTCAGACCTTGGCATTGGGCATCTGCAGTTCACAAAATAAATTTATTCTTGGTTTATAGTCATTTATGTGGAAATTGTCAGCATAGACTAGAAATAAAATTTACAAATAATTGAATCCTATCCATTTTATCACTTTGATCTGCATTTTCTGTGTTCAGAAATAACACTGATAGTTCCCTCTCCTTGCCAGCGCACCCATGTGTGTCCTCTGTATCAAAAGATAACATATTTGGAAGCTAGTCTACTCTAAGGCAGGTTTACCAACAAAGTAGAAAAACAGAAATTTTGTGATACTTGAAATTCACATACTGTCAATAGCATTACAGCTAAATGATATTGTTGGATCACTTATGTGACATTATGGTCAGCTGAAATTTTATGGAATATTTTAATACATTTGTAAGTGTGAGAACAGTTCTTACTATGATTCACAATTCCTGACTCATATTCTATCTATCATTGAGATTTATAGAGAAGTTCCCTTAAAATTTTATCCACCCATAATTCAGTGTGTTTTCTTCGCAGTGATTTTTGGGAGGCTTCCATACTAGATGAGTCTTTGTAAAATAAGAAAACTTCGTATTTGCCAAGTAGTGTAAGCTTACAGGGTATCAATATAAAAATACTCTGCTCCAGTGTTTTATGTCCTTCGTCAAAGCACTGCTTAGCAGACTTATGATGACAACCTCCTACAGTTTTAGTTATTACTAGTAATATTTCAGGTTAGGTGTCTAGATTTGATTGTGAAATGAGCCATATCTCTATGTAGTTAAGATAGCAAGTCATTCATCAACTCATCCTTCCCAACTTAAAATTACTGACAGTGAAAACAACAGAAGGTCCCACACTGGTCCTTTATATATATATATATATATTATTTTTAAATATATTTTATATATTATATATATATATATTATTTTTAAATTTTTTTTCCTATTTTTTGTTTTAATCATAGAGACTTGTTTTACTGGATAGGGGGATGGAAGTAACTGCTTTACCTCCAACACTCAGTAGAGTCAGAAATTCGGTATAATCCTAATTCCAGAATATGACATTACTCTCTATGTACACAATCAGTTATTCGTTTCCTGGGATACCTGATTGGAAATGCTTGCTGTGGCAGCTGTAAATTCACTTAGATCACTAAAATGAATGACAGGTCTTATCACCAGCTCTTGTTTTATAATCAAACTGACACAGCATGCACTTAGATCCAGGCCGTCTCACATACTAAGAAAACAACATATATATTAAGCAGCACCTGGATACAATATAAAAGCAGTTCCATTGGCACTTCTGTTTTGCACTTCTGTTATCCAATTGTATATAAGAAACTTCATTTCAAAACTAGAATTCAATAGGGTCTTTACAGCAAATACTTTATTAAACCCAGCTACACAGATGCATGTCTCATGTACTAAATTAGACTTGTAATTTTCAAAACTATCCTTGTTGTAAAATGATGCATTCTGTGGTTTGTAGGACTGGGAGATTTCCAAACCTGCGTGAATCCATTACTGTTCATTCCTCAAGGTATGACTATAACATCGTTAGCTACAAAATAATTTCCTGCATCCTTATTCCAGTTACCTGCTGTCACAAACAAGCAGATCATTTTTTCCTTTTCGTAAGTCCAACTAAGCTCAACCTTCAGTTTTGTTCTCCTTCCTTCTTTCAAAGGCTCCTTAAAAATGTCAGAGACTAGAAATTTAAATGTCTTTGTGGCCAGTGTATATGCCAACCACAAACTACCTTTGGGAGTTGTCATCTTTTAACATGTGTTTTAAGAGATACCAGCCTCTGTGCTATTTCAGTAGCATATAGATGTCCTTGGTAAGAAAGCAAAACTCTTCTCACACTTTCATAAAATGACAGAATACATAGGGGCACTTAAATCATTTAATATGAGGTACTTTCAGATGTAAGAATGAAATATGAATTCTTTTTCCTGTGCTTATGTCGTTTTAGTTCTGTATGTGGAAGCTCCTCATTCTGAAAAGCTTTCTTGACTTTACTAGGTGCTGTGGAGATTTTTGTTTGGCTGTTCGTCCCAATCAACTAGTGCATCAGATTTTGGGGCCTTTTATGTGTATACTGAGTTGACTCCTAGAGTTTTCTTAAACTATAAATAGAAACACAAATTTTATCAAATTGACTGAACTTTTCTTATTAGCATTTTTTTCACCCTTTGTTCTTTCACCTGTCTTACCAGTTCTTTCCAACTAGAATCTGCTTTTCTCTTTCAACTGTGAAGAATGGCAAATATGCAACACTGAAACAACAGGTAGACTGGGCAGAAGTGTAAAACGATGAAGTTCGAGACAGTTTGCCAGAGAACTGGTGACTGCAGTTTGTTTAGACTTCTATTAGACAGTTTCATTTACTTCTACTATAATAATGGTGAAGACTAAATAAAAGAATCACTGCTTACTGTTGAGTTGCAAATATTAATACAAGGAACTAGTATTGAGGAAAGGGGCTATTTTGACTAACCATATTTATCTGAGGCTTTATCAGATGCCACATCTGTAATGAAGACTTGGTTTTTCTGTGAAAGTGCCTGTGAGACAGAAATTGTCTGGGTTATAATTGCTGCAGAAGACTTCCCCCTCCTAAATTAAAAAACGCATCAACTGACATCAATTCTTGTGTAAAAATGAAAAATGTACTGGAGATAAATTAACCTTATAAACTGATCTTGAGTAGGAGTATCAGTTTTCAACATCAAAGCAGGAAGCTTTCATCATACTTAAAATCTTAAGCAATCTTTTGTTTAACATAATCTACTAAAGTGTTTACCAAGATTTTTCCTCAGGTTGTTTCAGAAACTTACGAAAGGGCTCTGTCTGAAGTGAAACAGTTCCTGAAATGAAACAGTACCAAAAAACCTCACACAATCTCTTCCTCTGATCTCTCCATCTCCCTCAACATCTGTTTAAATTAGTTATATTAGGAAATCTGTTGCTTAGTATCTAAGTGAACCAAATAATGCTTGAACTACTTCTTAGAAAAGCACTCATTTAGATTTCACATTAATTTTTGCATTCCAAATCTAAAAATACACATATAATTTGCTGAAAGTTAAAGGAATTAGATTAGGTAATATACAGTAAAAAAATTACCTAATGCAGCCAAATTGCTTTATCTTTCATTATAAAGAATGCTGTATGTGCACAAGGGGTAAGCTTGCTTTTGTTTACCAGCACCATATAACATAGAAAAGAAATACCATAAAACACCTTTAAAGAGTCACAGATTATTAATAAATTATTTTGTGAAGCTAGATCTGCTGCTAATTGTGAATAAATATCTATTAATGCTTTGTAAAGGTATATCTTGAAAGATTAGCAAATTCTTTAATGGATATTTTTTAGGAATTCTATTTCTTGTTAACACTCAGTTCTCTCAATGACTCCTAGCCTGGGATGTAGGTGATAGCTGAAAGTCAGTCCTAATGTACCTTTTGTGAATTTGCTGTGCTAAATAGAAGTAGTAGCAAAGCACTGCAACCACGCAGGGAACAACAATCTTGGCTTAGGAGGAACCACTTCTAGAGAAAATGTCTGTGCCATAGGATGGCAAAGGAAAATGTCAATTCTTCTAAACTAAGTGAAATGAATCCACTTGGTTTCTTTAGGAGATTTATGAAGCAAAGAAGTAGTGAATACCCTGTCATGACTTCAGAATTTTTGATAAGATACTCTGGTATAGGTGAAACTTTTTGAATGGCTGGAAAACCTTGGAAATTTATCAGAAACTCAGAATTCTAGAAGGATTTCTATTTTCTGTTTTCAGTAGTGTTTTTGAGGATATCAGCCAGAAAGTAGCAGTAAGCACACTGGGGATTAGAATTATTTGTTATATTGAAAGATAGGAGCACTGATATGGAAGAAAAGATACAATCCAGCAAAATTAAGTGTAAAATTTAGCACTTTGTACAACTACCTGTTTCTACCTAGGAGTAATTTTGAAGAGCATTTGCTCATTACCAGCTGAACTTGAATCATTCTTACCACAGTACTGGTAACATACTGTTTGCAATAGTTTAAAATGTCATCTTTTTCTTAAATGATAACCAAATTGCAATTTGGCTTCAAGTTGGCTATTACTAATACACAAAAGACTTAGCAGCATCAAGAGCAGGGAGAAAGAGTGCTGCATGACTTACTAACAATTAGTGATAGAAGAACTCTGGGTCCAGAAATGTTGCTGGAAATAGCAGCTACCCCCTTTTTATCTTTTTTTTTTTTTTTTAAATCAGCTCATTGCAGCAAAAATCACATGCTAGCTATATGAAAAGAAAAGCTGAATGATCAGAGTGCTAAAAATGTAATTCCTAGCACTTCGTCATGTCTGAAGTTCTATAGACAGAAAATAAAGTTTGCTACTCATAAATGCCCATGTAGACAGATTGCATATCTGATGCTTTGCTTTAGAATAGGTCCATACATGATTATAAAGGATGGAAATGCATGCTAATTGGGAGATTTTTGTAAATAAGTAGTTCTTTTACCATTTCTGCAAGGTTGAAGATAAACTTTCAGAGTAAGCAAGGGCTTGGGGGGTTGTTTGGGGAGGTTGTTTTGTGGAGGGGTTTGGTTTTGGGGTTTTTTTACACCACATGTATTTATCATATTCAAGAAATATACTTCATTCAAAAGGGATATGTGATGTGATAGCATGTGTTATTTCAAAAGTGTGCAGAGAAATAGATAATGTAATGATCGTTGGACTGGCTAGGGAGCAGGAATTACTGTACAGCCTTGTGTTGGAGTACTCGGTTGACACAGCATTTTCAAGGAAAAAATGGATGTCTAAAAACAGTCTGTCTTCTTGATCTCTGTTGAGACTTTAAGGGCATATTAATTGCACAAAGAGTTAGTTTTAAGATTCACCATCTCCCAGTGACATATTTGAACCCCAAGATGCGCACTTTTGTCCTGTTTCCATACATGTCCCTTATTTCCCACATGTATAATTATTCATTAAATGCTTTTCTATGAGTATCAACTTATTGAATAATTTGATATTGGGAAAGGAAATTAAAACAGATGTTGAAAGTAAACAGAAGTGTGTACAGTCATCAGTTAATACATCCAGAGTATTTTCTGCTTCTTCTTACTGTTTATGTCTTTGTTCTTACTCTCCATAGATGCCAGAATTTCAGAAGAAGACTGTCCATATTAAGGACCCAGGGAGAGTAGAGGAGATTATTTGTGGCCTCATCAAAGGTGGAGCTGCCAAACTTCAGGTAAAGATAGTAGAAGGTGTAACCAGTTTGGAATAAAAGCAACTGTGGGATTGTTGCTGTATGCCAAAAAATTTAAGTATGTGTGTGTATATATATATATATATATATATATATAAAGCAGAAGTCAACCTTCAAGATATCTCCAGAACTTAGGCATGTGAAATCTTTTAATAGTCCTTGTTGAATCAACTGTAATTCAGCCAGACTCTAGATAAGTAAATGACATAAACATAGAAGCTTAGTAATTTCAGGAAATATTCCGACCAAAGAAATTAAATAAACAGTTTTGTTAGAAAAAGTTACTCTTCTGGGATATGCTAGCTTGCATTACAATGGCTCAATAGAATAGGGAGGTTTCTGTGGCACACATGCTACTCAGCTGCAGCTATTGTTGATCGTTCAGAATTTCTAGCCATTCTTTATTTTGTCCCTCCACATTGTAAGACAGTTTTGCTTTTTCTTTCCTTAAATAGATTATTACAGATTTTGATATGACATTAAGTAGATTTTCCTACAATGGAAAAAGATGTCCAACTTGTCATAGTGAGTACTTTTTTTTTTTTAATACAGATTGGTTTGTTCACTCCTTTTAGTTTTTCCCATATTTTAATTTTCTGTCCAGTTTATTCCCTAACATATGGGATTTTCTGTTGGCTTGTTACCTGACCTGTACATTCTAATGAAGAAAAATTCTAGTGACTGTGTTTTTATGTGTGTATATATATTAATGAAAATCTGTGTGAATTAAAATCAGATGTTATTCACAATTAAAGCATTAAGTTTTGAACTCTAAGATGTTAATGGCTATATGTGGTAAGGTTGACTTTTATTTTTTAAGAGCCCGTAATAGTCTTGACACCTGCAAGAACCAGATAGTAAACTCCTTAGAATTCTTGGCATTTTTATCCCTATGCTGTATACGGTCTTTTAGAACAAACAAAGAGAATCCATTAACTGATGAAGTGGGAACTTTAAGACATTCAGGATGCCTCAGGATGATTTCAGAAACAGATAAATCTCAAAAAACAGATACAAAAGCTTGTAATTTGCCTTGTAATTCAGAGATGAGGGGAAGGGCTTCTTCATGTACTTATAAAGAAAAATGTTCCTGTTGCTGGTAAGAAAAGTTCTGAGGAAACATATTGTTATATCATCAAACCTCGTCATCTGTGCCATTTACAGTGCTGTAGAGCGAAGTAAAAGAAACATACCATCTTGTTTAACACACTTTTTTTTTTCACTCTTCCCCCAGACATCATTGATAACTCTAAGATCATCACAGACGAATGTCGGAAAAAGGTAAACAAGAAACCTACTAGCACTTGGTTTGTTGTACGGACAACTGTCATTATTCCCTGACTGAAGAACGTTAATTTGATTTGTTACACCAAATACCAAGTGTTATTTTATTAAAATACATTCAACATCTGGTGTTTTTTTCCCTTTCAGTTATTGCAGCTGAAAGAAACCTATTATGCTATTGAAATTGATCCAGCTCTCACTATTGAAGAGAAGTATCCATATATGGTAGAATGGTAAGAGACGCTCCCCATATTCAAATTGTACTAAGATTAGATTTAATAAGTTTTTAAAAGCAAATTAATGGCAGTACTTAGCTTCTAGCTATCACATTAACTGAATTAAGTGCTGTACAACAACTGGTTCTGTTTTGCCGTTAACTTGAATGAGCAAGAATTAACCATACAGGATGCTTTTCATCATAACATTTAATGAAAGGTGAATCTTAGTAGCAAAGTTCAACTCATTTTTCTCTTTATATTCGAGGTACCATAAATCTCATGCACTACTCATTGAACAAGGCTTACAGAAGGATAAGTTTGCAGAAATTGTGAGGGAATCTGATGTTATGCTGAAGTAAGTTCCTTTTTATTTGAATGATACTGTTTCAGAACATTTTCTGTAGATTCTTACTGGGTGGTCAGGGGAGGAGAAAAAAAGGGAAGGAAACAAAAAACCACACACACATTCCTGAGAATGTGACACCCTAATCCTGGAACACAGTGAGCTCTCTGTGCTCCTATTTTATTATTTATTTTTGTACCCCATTATACGTTGTAGCTAAATGCCTACAGTGATCACCAGAGATCTGAAACTTTTTTTAGTCCCATCACTACAAGCTTCATTTCTGTAGACTTTCATCCTCTTTAAATTGCACTGGTGGCGTTTTTTTTAAGGGCAATGTAGAGTTTAACTTAGTTCCTTTGAAAAACATTCAGTTCAATAGTTTTATCTGAGATAAAAGTGCAGCGATTTGCAAAGCATGTTTCATATGTTGTATTAAATATTGCTCTTCCTCTATGGCTGAAGGCAAGTTTAAAAGCCAGCAAAATCCTTCTTTGAAATGTGCTGTTGCTACCATCTCTTTGAAAGCTTTCTAAAACTGCCTGTAAACTGTAACAGGATGTTAGAACTTAAATTGTGGAACTATTTGTTTATAATACTGACTAAATTCTTATCTTTTGTAAACAGACAAGCACCCTGTCTCTGCCTTTTTGAAAGCCTAAGTCAATGTGTGTTGAATATTCATTCACAAGCTAAAATTCCCTCAAAAACTTTCACAATATTTTATTTAAAATGTAAAATTCTACCAATCTAGTCTGTGTGGAGAAAGCGTATAGAGATAATATCATCTTCTTCCTGGAATACTATATATAGTCTTGATTGGGTACTGAACACTAAAAAACTTTCAGGAAAGAAGAACAATAAATGTTTTCAGGGTTTAAAAAACAAAACAAAATTTGTTTCATAGTAATAACTCTACAGAAAGTCACATGTTTAAGCAAGGAAGATGGAAAGGAGGTACAGCCCAATAGTAGCTAGAGGGAGTTCTACTAGTTGCTTGCTTGTTCTGGAGTATTTAGGGAGGAGGAAGTGTTTTTAAGTCTTTAAAACATGATAAGGTGTTTTTGGGGGAAAAATTATACAGAACAAGACCAAACAGCTCAGTGGAGTAGTTTCTTACTAAAACTATATGCCTTATGTTAGGTTGATGGTTCTTGCTAACCTAAAAAGGTGAAGTCAAATGCTAAAACCTAAAAAAATGAAGTCAAATGCTCAGAGAAAATTAAATCTTTTCCAAAGATGATGTGACTGTCTCCTGAAAACTCAGACTGTTCTTGGCTTTCTTTATTTGAGATTTGATTTGCATTTACGTTCTGTGTTGCAGAGAAGGATATGAGAACTTCTTTGATAAGCTCAGTGAACATAATATTCCTGTGTTTATATTTTCTGCTGGGATTGGGGATATTCTTGAGGAAGTAATCCACCAGGCTGGGGTCTACCATTCTAATGTCAAAGTGGTTTCCAATTTCATGGATTTCGATGAAAATGTACGTATGAGATAACACATTCTTATCAAACATGACTCTTTGTGGTATTTAGTAGCTATTTATGTATATTACAAGATGAACATTTAAATGCAGCAGATGTAACCACCTACCCTGTGATATAGAAACTTAGAATTGCATGTTCAACACTCTCAGACCAAGATGAAGCAGGTGATCCCAGTTCAAACACTGTTAGCATGGTGTGATTAAAATACCATTTATTTCCTTTAATGGCAGCCTCACGTTTGTCCCAGTTCTGCTGCTCCTCCTCTTCCTCCAAGCAGGGAGAATCACTGTTTGTCTAGTCCTAACAATGGTGTTACAGTCATTTTGTTATTTAACAGTAATTTATCTTGTTCATCATCAGAGACTACATAGTTCAATGTTAGCTCAACAGTAATATCACCTATTTCCTTCTAGGATTCTATCTTGCCTGAATGATACCAGAAATAACTTCAGATTTCCTTTTTTTAATAGGGAGTATTAAAAGGATTTAAAGGAGAATTGATTCACGTTTACAACAAACACGATGGTGCCTTGAAGAACACAGAGTACTTCAAACAACTAAAAGACAACAGTAATATCATACTGCTGGGTGATTCTCAAGGAGACTTGAGTATGGCAGATGGAGTAGCAAATGTCGAGAACATTCTTAAAATTGGCTATCTCAATGATAAAGTAAGTATCCCTACATAACCTTGTAAGCTTTAAATGAAACACTAGGAGTTAGAAATAGGTTCATTATAATATGCCTGAGATATCAAACCAAGCGTTTGGCCCATATTTGTTTTGAGACTTCAAATATTTTTCACGGATTTCTTTTTTTTATAAGACATAAGCTACAAAAACGCAAGTGTATATTGCTTTGGGTTTTGTACTGAACTGCTACCAAAAAGTATTTCCTAGAGAAGTAAAATTCAGAGGCTATAAAAATTAATTCTCTTAAATTCCTGTGGCTTCTCCCCCTCCTTTCAATACTGGATTGATACTTGAGCAAAATCATGATCTTCCAAATAACAAATTTAGGCTCTCCTCTTTTTTTTTAAGTGACACACAACTGATCAATTGCTAAGTTATAATGCACATCCATTTGCATTCAGGAGAGAAAGAAATCCACTTTTCTATATCTCCCTGTCTTTTGGGAAGCTGAAGAAGTAGTTTATCTTTCACTATCTTTATGTGTGAGATCCTGGAATAAATCTGAGGTATTATATCCTGGAATGCATGCAAAGCTATGTCAGGCCACTCCTACTCTGTCCTCCTGTGGAATTCACTTGTAGGAGCAATACATTATTTGCATGGCTCATTCCCTTGCAATTGGTAGAAGGATTGGGCAATATTTTAATGACAAAAAGTCTTTCAATAATCAATTCTTTCTCTTTATCCCATCTGCAATTAGGTAGATGAGCTTCTGGAAAAATATATGGACTCTTATGATATCGTTTTGGTGAAAGATGAATCCCTGGAAGTTGCCAACTCCATCCTACAGAAAATCCTGTAAATTGCAGTCTCAAGTCACTCCATTCCTTTCAGGAGGCAACTGGACAGAAGAGCACACGTGTGCTATTTTAGATGTGTTTATTACTCATTTACAGAACTGTTTAATTTAATTTAAAACTTTTATCTTCATTTTGGTATTCTGGAATATATATGGTATCAATTGTCAACTACAAGCTCCTTTTACTGCTCTTACACTGTTCTTTATTGTCTCACACTCCTGTTATAACTAGATTTAAATTGGATTTAGAGATGTGATATACTGCTGCAGATGGGATAGTATGGTTCACTGTCTTTTTTAATCAGGCATTTCAGAGCAGCATTTTAGAAAATGTGGCTATTTTGTAAAATTGAAGGTGTAAACACTCTGTGAACAAGCAGTGTGCGCGTTTGTGTTGCCTTTTCTTTTCAAAGAAGACATTTCAGTCTCAGCTGTACTTTGAAGGATCTTATTCATATGCTACATACTTTCACAGAAGTTTTTCATACCTATATTCTTCTCCAGTAAAAATGCTTTATTCACCCAATTCAGGCAAAGTGTTTCTTCTTCACAGATTTTTGTATCATTAGAAAAAATTCTCTGTCCTTACTGTTTCTTATTGTCTGTGAAATGGGAAGAATGTTTTAAGTTAGTATATCTGAGATAAAATTTCTCATCTTTGTAACAACAGATCGTTTCACAAGCTAATAGTACACAGCCTCCCTGCACTGAGCAGGGACATCTTCAAGTTGATCAGGCTGCTCAGAGCCCCATCCAGCCTGACCTGGAATGTTTCCAAGGATGGGGCATCTACCACCTCTCTGGGCAACCTCTGACAGTGTTTCACCACACTCTTCTTCAGAAAGTATTTCCCCTGTACTGAGCAGCACCTCTCAGCATTGTGTACAGAAAGGTAGAGCTTAATACCACCACAGCTTTGGAAGCTTACTTGGATATGTTGCAGGATAAGTAAAAGATGATGTTGTGACCCTGGTCCTATGAGGTCTCAGCTGTACTAAATCTATTCATTAATAAAATAGAGGCAATCATACAACTTCCTTAATGTGCAATATAGTCATTGTTCCCCTTTTTTCATTCACAGCTGTGCCATCTTCCATTCCCTGAGGAGTTGTAATGAAAACGTGGGAGAGCCTAGATCTGCATTCTCCCCACCAGAAGTAACACACATCTCAAGAAATGGCCTCTTTCCCTCCAACCTGTGATCTGTTATTTAAATTCTGACTTAGTAGCACCACTCATTTTTTTTCCAAATCAGCAGATTTACACTGCTTACCATCCCTGCTGGAACTTTTCCAAGAAAGGAAGAGGAGGGGCATAGTTTCCAAACCCCATTCTGCATCCTCTGCAGTAAACTAAAGTTAAATCCCCCCTGTATTTTGAATGCAGGGTAGAGGCTTGATACGCAATCTGAGGTAGTTGTGAGCACACGAACACATGGCACATGCTATACCAGCAGGGAACTCCTGAGTGCAGGGACCTTTTAGAAATTCCAGCCTGCATCTGAACAGGCAAAGAGTGTTTGAGGGAAATGTCCTCCTTGTCAGGATCTAGTCATGTTTGTAATTCCTTGCTCCTGGCAGAGGGGCAGCTGGCGCCCCAAAAGCAGGAGCCTTGAAGTTGTCCCTTGGAGCAGAAAACCAGTAAGACAACCAAGGCGAGGAGAGCACCTTGGCTGTCTTCCATTCCAGAGCCATTACTCAGGCAGCAGCAGATTGGAAGAGCTGAAAGCATCCTGGCAGTACCAGTGACAGGAGGAGACAGGAGCAGCAGCTGCCTCAGCCCTGGCCTGCCAAGAGCCTGTCAGCCAAAGCCAAAAACAGGGAAAGCTTGAAGGCAGCAGTGACAGCCGCTGAGTCAGCGGTCACTGGGACTGGGTGTGAAGTTTGGCCTGGTCTCTGGCCTTTCTCCCTGTCTCCCCCATTTGCCTCGGGCAGGGAGGAGGACAGGATGGTCATGGCAAAACTGTAAGGAAGGGATCAGGCTCCAGTACAGTCATCTTCTGCCAGCACTATGGATTCAGCACCGCCAGCAAGACAAGCAGGGCGATGAAACCTGTGACTCCCTGCAGGGCATCGGTGTGAGCTGCCTGCTCAGCAACCAGGTCTGCACCACCTGGGCACAGCAAGGTTCTTAGGGAATGCTGCAGCATTTTCAGGGGAGCTCAGCAATTTCTTTAACATTCTACATTTGGAGTTTTAGGCACCTACAGAATTTACGTTAGCTGAGGTAATGTTAAGGTTTTGGAAGCAGGGAAGTAGGGTTGGTGATTCTTGGTTTTAGTGCTTTTTTAAACATGCAATCATGCTTTTGTCACAGATGCCAAATAAAAGTCCAAAAGGCAAAGGCCTTCTGAAAAACACCAAGGTGTTTGGATGCACTGCTTACTCAACCAGCCTCTAGTTGCAAGGGGCTAATTACCAGGCAATACTCCCAAAGTTTACACTGGGATAGTTTTCCATTTACAAGCAGCTTATCTTTGGAATACAGATAACAAAATTTAGAATATGTGAAGTGTAGCTGATAGTCACAGCTCCACAGCAAGAGATGTGTCAGCAACACACTCTCTAGCACAAGATCATTCTGAGCTACAAGTGGAATGAATTTCTCTGACCACCCCAGCATCAGTGAAAAGAAGGGGGGCAATTCTGGTCTCTCTGTATAGTGTTTCTGAGAAGGGAAGACTGTCCCATGTTTTCAATCAACCTTGCCTGAGAACACACATAAACTCATTGATTCTCCCTCCAGAATTTTTCCTCAGCCTTACCCAACAGGTGAGTGAGCCATCACACCTTTACTGTTATGAAGATCTTATTCTTTAACCCACAATTGAAAAAAAAACCAAACACAAACCCCTAACCAAAACAAACAAACAAATGAACAAAACCCACACAAGTAAATAAAACGAAACCACACAGAAAAGCACATGCAGAGCAACATAGAAAAAAGGATTAGGCAGCATCTTTAAAATCAATTACCAAACCAGGTGTCCAACTACATCTTAATCCGAGTTACTGAAATTAGTATTCAGCCTGCCTAGAGAGCCCACACACAGCAGAAGGGAGCACTTGGTTTCTCAACTACAGGGACACCTAAAACTCTTTGCCTTGGTAGAGGATTTCAGATCAAACCACCATCTTTCAAGCATTATGTAAGGAAGATTTTCCAGTCTCACCTCCAAGCAGGTGGACAATGAATAGTCAGTCACCAAATGTTCAGTCCACAATGACAACCACTTAAAGAAAAGGATTCTTGTCCTTACAAGAGGAGGCAGGTAAGTTAAGATCTCCAGCATGCTTTTCTCCTTCTATCAGTAAGTCCTGTCAGTCTCAGTTCCTATGTTAAGTAACTACCGGAGCAGTAAACCTTTGCTAGGACATAAGAGCAACTAAGCCATGTTGCAGTTACCCCACAGAACCCATTTGCTGTACAAAGGGTATTTCCATGCCAAATAATTTACTTTTTGAAATTCCATAATACAGCTTTCTAGAAGAAACAGTTACTTACACAAGCTGAAACAGGAGGTCAGATTTTAAAAACCTGCATGGTGCTGTACAGATTATCAGTATCCTCACATCTCATTGCCAGCCACAACTCATGCTTATGTGGTAGTTAAGGGAAAACACAAGATGCATTTTTAGATATCCTCACTTTATCAAAATCCCACCTTTTTGTCACTGGACTACTGGCTAATAGAAGAATCAATGTTATCAGTCACCTCTCCAAAGCCATGAACAAAATTAACTGCAAGCAAAATTAACTCTACAGCTACAGGTTAAACCGTCCTACTCCAGCTAGTCTAATTCTTGTAAGTACTATTGAGATTTCTCCATTCAGTATTAGGAAAGAGATACTATTCACAGTATGTCTTTCTAAATCAAATTTCTAACCAGAAACATTTTGCCCCCCTAAAGTGTATTTCATTTATGATTTAGTTTGGAAAGAAAGGTATCATACATTTCCCAGACCATTTTCCCACAGCCAAAAGAGTATATCATAAGTTTAAAGCAAGGAATAAGCAAAGTTAAGTGAATTTGTTACTTTTCTTTCTTCCCCTACTCACAATATCTGTTCTGTCTGTAGCACATGTCCAAGGTCAAGTATTTGGGACCTTTATTTAGCTGAAAATGATTCCTCCTCTTGAGTGGGTGTTGCAGCCAGCTCAAATGTCCTCTTACTGTCAAACACACACTAATAGTCCTGAACTGAGGCAAAAACTTGCACTCAGTACTAGCTAAATATACCTTTAAGCTTAAAGGAAAATCTGAATATTTTTCACACAGAAAAAAATAACATTCAAGTTCAACAACTGCAAACTCTGATTTAAGCAAAATTTCTCATATACTTGGAATAGGTGGGATTTTAGAGTAGAAAATATTGTTATCAAATTAGGACAGAAAAAAAAATAATTATAAATACCTGGATTTTTCACGGTACACACACAGGTTCCTTTTCTTTTGCACTGAGCCTCAGACAATTCAGTTGGCAATTGCCAACCCTGGCTGCCAGCAACTTCCTTTTCTAACAGCAGTCAGCTGCCCAGCTCTGAGATTAGCACCTGCCTGTTTCTTTAGAGGAGTAGCAGCGTTCTGAGTTCGAGAGAGCCCCTCATTAGCTTAACCAGCTAGTTACATCTGGCTATTAATGACGCTTAAGAGGTATGATCTATTTTTCTAAAGTTAGTTAAGTATGTGAAAAAGTATCTAGATACTAATTAAATAAATAAATTCTAAAAAGATACATTCCATAGATAAGTTCTAAATAGATAAGTTCTAAATACTAGTAGATAATAGATACTAATACATAAATTCTAACTATTAAATAAATTCTAAATGCTACATAAGTAGATAAATTCTAAACAAACAGATAAATTCTAAATAGATAGATAGATATAAATAGATAAATTATAAATTGCTACTTTCACCTGAAAAAAAATATGTTACATTTTGAGGTAGAAAATATTTACCATATATCCATATTCCTCACAGGCCACCCTCTCTAACAGGTTGGTGACTCAGAGGGATTTATCTGTTCCTGGAGCTGCACATGCAAGGGCTGTGCTGAGCTCTCCCAGTCCACACCAGCACAATTTCACTTCCCAGCCAGCTTCCCTTGCCTCCAGGCTCTGGTTTGGTGAACGGGCAGGCAGACTGCCCTCACTTTGAGGGGGCTGCCACACACCCTGAGAAGCAATGGGTAGAAGATTCAACACAAGTGCAAACCTTTTCTCAGGAAGGCGGCCCTGAGCTTTCCCTAGAAGGAGAAGCAAATAGCTACCAACAGAAAGGAAAAGATTGGGTCTATGTTAGTAGTCAGAAATTCTGGATTTTATGCAGTTTAGCCTAATGCAGCCAGACAGACCTGGTTTCTGTTGCCTTTGTCTGGGCAATGCCCAGTATAAATACAATTATTTTGCAGCAATTTTTTCCTTATATTCTCCGATTTTCCCCAAAGCTGCATTCTTATTTCCAAAATGGCAACCTCCAGACTTGGAGGGGAGGAGGTGAGTGGGCAACAAATACTTCCTCTAGACAGAAAAACGTCTTTAGATGGATCACAAGCCATGTTTGCTAAGGCCTAAGAAGCAATGGAATGAGAATTTCAGATGTACTTACCCTAGCTGAAGGCACTGGTAAAGTCATCCCTGCTATCCCATCACTTCCAAATAAATCCAGCACAGCAATCTTTGGGATTACCAACTGCCTGCACTTTGGTGCTGCTCTTTGCCTTGCATCTGCCCTGGAGGACAACTCTGTTATCCTTGGCTTACTGGGAACTCTTCAGCCCACCACCTGGAATGTTCCTCTGTGTAGAAAGATTGGGTCCATTCGCTAAGATTTTTTCAGACAAAACAATTCAGTATATCATAGAATCAGAATGGTCTGGGTTGGACGGAACCGTAAAGATCAAGAAGTTCCAAACTCCCAAAAGGAGGGGAGATACCCAGAAGACAGACTTGGTTTTTTGGGGGTATGTATGAGAACAGAGTAAGGATAAGGAGCTGTTTCCACACTGGGAACTGCTTCTGGCAGCACTCAAATCACAACTTGCTTCCCACTCCTCTCAGCTCTGTCAGGATGGAGAAGCAATGCACCTGAATCACAGCAAAAAGTGAGCAACTTGCTTCCCAATAAAACAAAAGGGAAAAATGTGTGCAACAGTCTTCTGAGGAAGCTGCTTTCACAAGACAGTGAAGCTTCTGAAGAGTCATTCAGGACATAAACCTTTTGATTCCAAGTACCAATCACCGATATCCACCATTTTTACATCTGCTATAAAGAGCCTGTATTTACATCAAGCCCAAATCAGGCCAGACTTCCAGCATTTTACACACAATACATGTGGGTTTTGAGCTACAGTGAAAACATCAAACCTCACATACACAGTTCAGTGAGTTTGCTTTTGCTAGACTGGGGAATGAAATGCTGTTTTCTACGTAAGACAATTGCATTCAGTGAAAGACTTGGAGTCCCCATCACCCTCCCAGCTGTCACAGCCAATGGCAATATGGGATGGGGAATTTAGCAAATGCCTCCTAAAGCCAAAGAATTATTTCATTTCACCTGCGTGAGGTATGAAAAAAAAGTCTTTAATAGTGGTCTATTATTTTTTATAATTTTGAATCAAATATAGAACCCATAATCTTAGTTTAAAATATTTTTCCTGAAGATGAATAGCAAATTTGAACATATTTAGGATAAGCCTGCTGCATGCAAGAGAAAAGAGCTGCAGGAAGGGTATTTGCTTCAACTCAAGATCCCAACCAACCAAAATGCCAGAAAGGAAAATGTAGCAGTTGATAGAAATTTTATTTAACAAAAAGATCAGTTATCCAACATTTAATGGTATCAAACTCAAAAAAATATTTCACTGCACTTTCTGTAAGAACTGCATTAAAAACCAATACAAAATGTTTTCATCCAACTGAAATATCAGCTTTTAGAAAGAGCATCTCAGGAAGCTTACATCCCACATGTACAGACCAAGGAAAGCAAGAAACTAGACACAAAGCATATAATGGAAACACAACTCCCTTCCTACTCCTCTTTGACAGTGTCTCGCTATACGTATTTGTGCACTTTACATGTAGTGTACTGAGGGGAATCACACAGCCTTTCAAAAAATGTGTGTTATGGGTATTTAGTGCTAAGCAGCTTTGCTCCATTTATCGAGCTAACGGGTGACTGTCTCAAGAGCTCACATAATCTAAACAGCACTCTCAGGGCTGACTCTGTGTTGAGGGATAGGCCAGAATGTTTGCACACACAAACAGATGGGCCTATTTCTTGATTTTATCACTGTCTGTCTCTTTGTTTGCCACTGCAGACTGCTCTGCTGCTTAAGCTCTAAGCACTTACTCCTTAGTCTAGCAATTCCCAAAACAGGAGACAGAAGCCCCCCCCAAAATCAACTGTATCCAGTATTTATGACAGCACTTGGACTTGTAATACTAATATTTAATGTCTAACAAAACTATAAATAGGATTGCAACTGGAAAGGTTTTGGAATCACTGATGGGAACCCTGGCCAGCAAGAGACAAGGTTACTAATTCAATACAATACAGATGGAAGAAAATTTTTATTCCGTGAGGTAAAAACCCAACACATACACAGTATTGATTCTAGGCCTGTTTAATTTAATTCACAGCTTATGGAAATTTTGCAATGGCACAGCCATCGCTTGCACGTTCTGCAATTTGCAAATCAGATTTTCTGCTGGCAAATATCCATGTGAGTTTGTTCAGTTACTGGAAAGAGTGCTCAAGCCTTCTGAAAGGAACTGGGATCAACAACTAACAACTTTTACAGGTTATTTTCATGGGGAATATTTTGGTTCATTCTCCTGCACAAGTATTTCTGATACAGCAGGTTTTTAAAAACTCTTTTAAAAGCCCTTGGTAAGTTTTCTCTCTACCATCCATCCAAGTGACCGTGTATTGTTCAATGAGAACTTCTGATCTTTAGCATAAAAACAGATCACATGGATCATGACACCACATATGGCAGTACACTCTACCTGTTTATACATCCTACCTTGAGGCACTTAACACTTTCTTCAGATATACCTAACAGTTCCAACTGAAAATCTCTTCCTATTTTAAGAGCCTACCCACACCTCAGCACAGGCAGACCCAGGCTATCCTTCCAGAACCATGCTTGCCAAAACCCCTTCCAGTACACATGTTCAAACAGTAGGTCAGCTCAGGACTCTTCTTTTTTTCTTATCTTTACAGTTCATCGTGTTCCTCTTTGGCCTCCTGATCTTTCAACTTGAATTCTTCAGCAGTAACTTTACCATTTCCATCCCGGTCTTGATTGGTGAACATATTTTTAACAATCTTCTCAAAATCAAAACCAGGAGCTAGTTTTCCTTTGCCAGAATCAACTTGAGCTTGGATGTACTCTGAAAACTAAGCAGAGGGAAAGGAGAAGAAAACAGCTCACAATTAAATGGACATTTAAAACTGAAGAGTATGTCAAAAGTAGCATTTACTTGTCATCGACTATCCAGCATTTTACAATTTTATTAGATGTACATAGAAGTACACTCTTACTACCCTATAAATTTTGCCACCTAAACTGGACTAATTAGGACAGACACAGGAGGTTTAGTCACTCCAGAGAGGGTAGTTTTGCATGCCAATACATGAAGCTTACAGACATAAGCCCGCATTTTACAAGAAGCAACACACAAGAGAAAAAGAATGAAACACAGAAATGAGACTTTAAATATCAGGATACCATGAGATTTGTTAAAATAGCTTCAGGCATTATGTCTTTCACTTGACTCCTCTGTGGGGAAGGTTGTAAGGTCAGTTTTCCCTAAAGACCTTTCTCCCAATATGTATGATGAAGCTATTAAAGGTGATATTAAAGGTGATACAACATCTGACTGAAGTCGTACTGCTGGCTTGCCAAAACCAGAAAGACAAACACAACTTTCCCAATTATTGTTATCTCCGGTGCTACTTGTTAAATGAGCTTCAGCAATGAGAGCTATTGCTGACATTCATTTACACCTTTTAAGCCAAGCATCCTCTCGTATCTCCTTGGCTTCTCCTTCTCCTCCCTACTAGGTGACCAGAAAGATGTTGATAGTAAAAGCCACATACTACCTCATTCTCTAAACCAGTAAAAGCTCTTCTGTTCTCTGCAAGAACAGAAGTGGAGATGGAAGTAAAACAAAGAGGTGAAAGACAGTGCCAGAAAAAGGGAAAACAAGATTTTGATTTTACCCCATTAGCTTGTTAAAATCGTCAAAGGCATCTCATGCTGTTCCACAGGGCCACAACCTGCCCCCTGAGCGCCGCAGGCAGCTCTACTCCAGAGAGGAAAGACACAAAACAGAATGACAGAGAAAGGTGACAAAGAAGACATAAGAAGAGAATGAAAAAAACAGAACTCCTGAGTTAAAATGCAGAGGAAAACCTCACAGAGGTTTATATTATCAGAGATGGTGTGGCAAAGGCAAAGAGCCCTCAAGTAGGGCACCCACTGACAAGCATACAGTTCACCCACGGAAGGAGCAACTGCAGGCATTGTCAGGCTCCAGAAGTGATTAGACAGTTCCTGGATACACTGCTGCAGGCTCAGATTTGGCTCAGGAATTCATCTCAAACTGCCAATTAATGGACACTGAGAAGGCTGATACAGTGAAGGATTGTTGGATACCGACTCCGCCTCTTACACTTGTGTCCTAAGGATCTATTGTTAACCACAAGTATGGCCATTCTTTTTTTTTTTCTTTCTGGTTCTATTTCTAAAGCAAAATAACCATGCTATAACTGACATGCTGCCTCCCTTTTGGCAACACCATGTCAGAAGAAGAGAAGAGGAGAGACCCCCTTCTTCAACATCTGCATTGATGATGGTAAGAGAAAACATCTTGATGATAGTGGTAGGAGAAAACCACTGCAGGTGTTTTCATTGTTTCGGCTTACCTCCTCCAAAAGAACCTCTCCATCATGATTCTGGTCTATTTCTTCAAAAAGATTGGGAGAGACTTCCCCATTCCATACAAACATGTACCCTTCAGGCAAGCCAGACACCAGTTCCAGCAGTTCAATGTCGAAAACTAATACAGCACTACCAGGCACTTCTCCTTCTGTCACAAAAAAACATCAAAGATGGATATTTGTCCTCACTTACATTAAAGGGTATATTTCCTTTTAATCTATAATTAAATTTATCTTCCCGCTCCAACAGGCACTTCTCTACTGTGATCCCGAGCCCATCAAATCTTCCTGTTCACTTCAGGGAGGTGATCAAAAAATAAAGAAAGCTTTCATAATAAAACTGCATCAATTTCTTTACTTATAAAACTAATACTCTGGGAATAAATCAATTTTCCTTTATCTAGCAGATACACGGTGTACTCCTGTGAGATTCAACAGAGTTGCAACAGCTTGGGATGTTACCTCAAAGAAACCACAGAAGGAGTTTAATTTATCCTTGAAAAAGAAAAGTCAAGGTCACCTCTAATCTTCTATTTGCAAGAGACTGCAAACAAGCAATCTCTCAGAGAGCCAGGTATATACCAAAGCACTCATGCAATGTTTCAGACCGTGCCTATCAAATGTAACTTGAACAACGGTAGATACCTATGACAGGTATTAAACACAGTAGACTTTTTATGTTATGAGGAAATTTCCAATTTATTATATATAACTATGCACTTTTCTGTAATAGATAAAATTATGTACAAAATGTTGTATATATAATACTTTTAATTTTTAATGGAAATGCACTTAGTGGAAATTCTTATCTCTTAACACAAATTAATTCTCCTTTCAGTGTGGTACATGATGCCCTACAGTCTTTATAAACTACAAACTGTTCTGGAGCTATTCAAAGACCAGAACAACTTAATGTTTCCATATACATCAGAATTTGTTGATCTTGATGACCTCCTCTTAGAGTCCTTTCCCTCAAGTCTTTTAACTTGGAAGATGAGTAACAACAACACACACTGGGACATGAAAGTTCTTGTCACTTCTGCATTGTTCTTTTTATTACTGCTGTCCCTGTCATTAAAAATTGACAAGCCTCAATGCTCTAAAGTTTCCTTAAGATGTATTGGTGTTGGGGTTTCAACAGCACCAATACACTGTTTCACGTCCTACATTCAGTTCATGTAGTTTCCAAATTTTGAGTTTTCTTTGAATTTCCCAACATATTAGTGCTGACCAGCCCCCTTCAGTTTTGTTCCTGAATAACATGTCGCATGTCCAAATGCGAGCACCCTGCTCCCTATCATGGAGAACAGCGTTTACATCCCTCTGCAACACCAGACTGCCTGGAGCTTTCTGTTCTGACAAAGCACCATTACTGGGGGCATGTGTTCCCTTTTGTACTATGATGGTCTTTCTGTTGGCCACAGCAACAGCATGACTTCAAAAACAGACAGTGTGTTCATTCCATTGGGGAATGGGATGGGGGGGAGTGTCTAAAATAATGAAATGAAAAATCTCTAAAAAAATCCCATTCAAGCAGCTAAGACACACTCACCTTAGGACCTAGTACATATGAAGTAACAAAACATGCATACTCATGTTTCATTTACCCAAGGGATGCTAAGTGGATGTGCACTTACCAACTCCATCTTCTCCATAACCAAGATGAGGTGGAATAACAACTGTTCGTCGTTCCCCGACACACATGTCTTGAAGGCCCATGTCCATCCCCACTACTACCTGTCCAGATCCAAGAACTATGTTGTAAGTCTTGCCAAGGCTGTGTCTAGAGAGGAAGGAAAGAAGAATTAAAAAACACCCTCAACACGCAGAATTTCTGTTGTTCAAAATTACCACAAAAACTTCTAATTAGTGTCCTGTCACTGCCAAAAATTAACTTCATGGTAAATGCTCTGTTCTACCAAAAAGTTACCTGAAGTTGTTCTCAAGTTACAGCCAGCACCAAACAGACATGTCCCTGCTGCTGACATGTCCTCTGGCACCAAAATTATAGGCTTCTTTAATGAAATCCAATTAGAATCATTAATCATGCCAATTACACCCCAAGGCATTTTATCTTGAAGATAGGGCTTTTGCCTTTCACATGTTTTTAACTACTGCAGTTGGACTTTTTGGCAGATGTAAAAATTCCAGATGTACATTTGACCCATATCCATCACTCCTATATGGGGATCTGGGTGCATTCCCATAGATCAGCTATCCCTTTAAATGAAATCAGTCACTGTAACATTTTTACTTAACCAAAACAGCCTGGAAGAATACTACTACTGCTGCTATTTACTCATATTAAATTTTGAATTATACCCTGCTGAGCGTGGCTCATTTCTAAAACCAGAAATTATCACAAGTTAAAAGCCCAGAAGTTAAACATGTATTGTGATTCTAAAAGCAAAGTGTGCAGCGTTAAGACTTTATTCTGTTGGTCTCCTTTCTTTGGTTATTTGTCTTGGCTGTGCCTCTGCAGGACATGCTTGTATAACAGAGTATCATTTGGAAAGAAAACAATTCAGTGGCTACGAGGTCAGCCTTAAAATTAGGAGCACATGACTCATGATCTTTGATACTCTATAAACTGCTTTGAATAAGTCTCAGTGTCGCTTGGTTCCTGCTACAAAATGGGAATTCAGCCTTCCTGTCATATAAAAGGTGTTTTGAATCCAAACACATTACTTGTGTACATACTTGCCTACAGCACTGCATCATGTGCACCAATCTAAGGCAGCTTTTCAGCTCTGCAAACTATTGTGTATCCTGTGAAACCTATGAGCTGATTCCTGTGTTAATTATAACCTAGTCAAAAATAGTTTTTCCCAACTTCCCTTCCAAAAAATAAAATGTTATTCGGATGACTTGAGCTATCCAAAAGACGAAGGGGGAAAAAAAAGCTAGCAGAAGTATTCTTGCAGCTGCAGCAAACACTGTCACAGGCTCACTTTAGTTCTACAGGAGACAGACTGGAGCAATCTCTTGCTTCCATCATAAACCCACTGTCAACAGGCAGGAGGAAGAGGAACATTATCATCACCATCATGAGCAAGCCCTCTGACAGTTTCTCCATGCTGACAACACAGCACCGCAGCACAGGAGAATCAGCACCCACGTGCGGTACAGACATGACAGGTGACTATCTACTATAAACCACACACAAGATATCTTTAATAAGACCACACCAAGCGGCCCGACCAGACCTCTCTCAGAAGCACTGAATCAGCACAGAGTGAAAATCCTACCAAAAAACTGAATAAACCAGGACAGCTCATCCATAACAAGCCCTGTGTTGTCCTGGCATTACCAGTCCAGACACCTGAATTAGCCCATTTAAACAGAATGCTATGCAGACAAACTGTTTCATCACTCCACACATACTGTTTATGTTCTTCTCCAACACACTCCCACGTCCTTTTTGTTCCCAGTTCTCTTATTATGCTATGACAGATTGCCTTTTTCTTTTCCTCCTCCTATACATCCTAGGCAGGCAGACATAAAAAGAAAAATACATTCTACACAAATACTTACTTTTTTTCTTAAAAAGTCTTTACTCCCTGACAGCTTGCTTTGCAGGCAATTCATTCTGCTTTTACAGCTGCTGGGAATATTTTCCTTACCAGATCATTCAAATACTTACGTCGAGTCTAGCAAAGTACCATCCAGGAGCGAAGCATTGTAGTGATATTTCAAGTAATCTCCCTTCTTACTTAGTACGGTGCAGTTGGAAGGTCTGTAGTTAACAGTAATGCCGACAGAATCTGAAGGGTTGTGGAAGTCAACCACGTGGATGTCAAAGACCAGCACTGCAGATCCTGGAATCTTTCCTAAATAGGAAACAACTTAGGTAAATAGAGAAAGAAACCGTACCCAAACAGGCTTATGATGACCAGGTACTGCACCCTGTAAGAATACGTATTCCTGCTGCATCTGTTACTGAGTCATTCTGCTCTTCTCACTCAGAATTAAAAGATGCAACAGAATGCAAGCTGCATCCTGTGTAGGAAAGAGAACCAGTGGGAAAGCACTAAACATGCACTCCAAAGTTCAACAGTGAAGGAAAAAATTTTCATTATTCTGAAATCGAAAATTATGCAGAAATGAAGCAATAATCACATATTTCCTGTGACCATCCTAAATAACTCATCTATCTTGGACGTACTAATTCAGTATTGATCATCAAAATTCTCATAGGAGTTCTCATGCTTCAAAGAATGCCATTATATCTGAAAAGTTACATTTCCTTAAAATGTCCTGATAAGAGGCAACTTATTCCCTGCCTCCCCAGGATTATGTGTAATTGCACTACCAAAACTGACAGACACATCCAGACCCAGGAATGGGGTTTGTTGGTAAAGGAGTCTAATTCTCAAATCAACAGCACAGACTTTGCAGTCCCAGAAAACAGGCTTTTCTTTCAAGGCACTTATCCAAATAACATCCCAGAAGCCACCTTTTGAAACACCAGCCATAACACCGTGTTGGCTAGAAGGGTTATCATATTCAACCTCTCACAGCAATCCTTTTAGGTACTAATGAGTTTTCCCAAAAGAATGTTAATTGTATGTTATACATACACAGATACTTCGTTGTTACATGTATCCACTATTTAGAGAGGCGGCTTAGAAGTTCCACAAAACCTGTGGCTGTGGAAGGAATGGGGAAGAAAACAGGATGAACTCCTTCAGAATACAGAGCTTAAGACACACAGGTCGGAAGATCTCACAGTGCAGAGCTCCTGGCACCCAAGTACCAGTCTGCCTGAGACAATAATTATCCAAACAAATTCCGGTCAGCAAGTACCAGTCTGTCTGAAACACCAATTATTCAAATGAGCTCAGGCTACCAATTACATGTGAGATTGTTCTGTATTCTTATTGTCCTACCTATTGAGCTAATTAAAATAATTCTGCACATTCTGGGTGTAGTCTTGTCAGTTTTATGTCCACAAAATAACGAACTAGCTCATAAACTTTTAAAATGCCGGAAAAATGAAAACAGATACAGATGGACTAAACAATAAAGAAAACCTCATTAACTATGGAAGACTTGAAAGCAAATTCAAGCTCACCTCTTCCTTCTTCTCCATATCCAAGATGAGGGGGGATTATTATTCTTCTTTTTTCACCAGTGCACACACCTAGCAAACCTTCATCCATTCCAGCAATGACATAACCTTTCCCGACATAGGTGTCATACGTATGGTTTCGTGAATAACTATGGAAAATATTTGCATTTTAGCACTGTCAGGGGTACTCCAGAAAACATGGAATCTTGCAATAGCTCTGCAACACAGTTCTTAAACCAGTTAAGGTCAAAACACACGGTCATTAACCAGCACCAGAGAAGAACAAAGCAATCACCGTGTTCCACGAATCCAGGCCACCAGGTTTCATCAGCCAGTGACACGTGTCACTTATTACCCAGTAGTGGGACCCTAGCTAGAGAACAGCTAGCAAATTTGCAAATTCATCTCTACTATATATTGAAAGAAAAACCACACTTATTTATGTATTTTAGACTAAGCACAAAACAAGTTTTGACAAGTAACTAAAAAAAAATTAGTTTTCTTCTTTAAAATTTCCTCTGCCCTAACACTACTTTAATAAGCACTTATCAACTAGATATGGCTGACGTTCATCCTCATGAGACATCCTTCAAACTACCTCATTTCACAACCACAGCTATGTAGTTCAACTACTACAAGGAGCAGGCGGGACAAATAAATTCTTCTGGGATGCACAACATTAAAATGAGTCACTACAACAAAGCATTATCAACATTATCCCTCCTTCCCAAACCATGTCAACCACTTATATGTAGGTTGAAGGACCTGCTACAACACCTAATGATAGAATAAAACAAGGCTACAACGGCAATTGATGCTTATTACAAGGACATGACTGTCTTCTGCCTTTCAAGGCATGTTACATAAAGGCACAGCCCAACGAAGAAAAGGCAGAAAGGTTTCAATTAATCTTTACAAGGTAGCTCTGAGAAAGAACAAGACCAGTACAAGACCAGACTCTGATATAATTCAGAGGTTTATTCAACTGCTCTAAGTCCAGAAGACAGCCTTGGCTGAGCTACCCAGGGGCAGTTCTGCAGCTGAATATTTCGGAGCAAAAAAGCAAAGGAAAATATTATTAGAGCTCTGAAAACCAGCCATTCACAGTGCTTTTGGCATATTCCCCGTACTAGTAACAAATTTTCTCCTGGATAACTAACTCCAGGGTTTCCAGTAACTATTGTTAGCTGCTCTATTTCTTCATCTTTGAATTCTGCAGAAGGTCAGGATACGATGCTCTAATGAATGTGCCCTCTAACAACTGTCAGCAATCCAGAATGATGTAGAGGCTGCTGTCTACAAAGCACTTATTACTGTTTATTGACAACAACCCTAATATAAGTAATACAGCTATTTTCAAAATTTGTTTAATTACTATAGACAATATTCATTTACATCTCAAAAAAGAAAGATTCTGGGTAGGTGCATTGTGGACAAGATTTAGGCTCTTAACTTACAAGCTTTCATAAGCTGCAAATCAAGGTCTACAGCGATGGCTGCTGTTGTAGTACTAAACATTTTTCCATGAGTTTATTTCATAAAACATTTACATTGGCTCATTTTCATCTCCTTTTAGCTACTTCTGCCAGCTGTTCTGAAAGCTGGAGTGGGATAGTAAAGCACTGCTCAATTAAGAGTAACAAAAGTGACAGAAAGCTACAACGGTATTATTCATCATATGATTCTGTACACAAGGCTCATGTGCCCAGAGAGCTTTGAATTTATTGTGAAAGTAATCCCTATTCCTTTATCACAGAAACCCTCTTGCTGAATTCTGTGGTTCTATAATTCAGTCTCGAAAGACAGCAGCCTTCAAAATGCAAACAGTTTTCAAGTACAAATACAACTAACCTCAAACTAGCCACTAGCACACTGATTCACAATTTTCAGCACATAAAATGGATATCACATATATTTTCTCTCTCTTCAGTGGTATTACCTATTTGGCAGATAAACTCTGAAGAGCAAAGAGTCTTCGGGCTCTCATGCCCAAAGCACTCATGGCTTCACCGGGGGGTTACCGCCCCTAGATGGCGCCTGTGACACTGTCATAGTACAAACTAGTTCTTTTTCCTCTCATAGGGAAAAGTTTTCTGTGAGTTTTTTAAGAAGACTCCAAGTCCACTCAAAATTTTCAAAAAGGAAGGAAAAGCAAAGAATAGTATTTGGGTATATTATGGACAAGACAGAGGAGTCCAAACTGGAAATGCAATCTGTAGAGCTGAATGGTTTGGTTACCTGGAATCAAATAATGTGCCATCCAAAAGTGTGCCATTGTAATGGTATCGGAGAAAGTCTCCTGTCTGGCTTCTCCGCTCACAAGATTCAGGCACAACCTGGTTCTCAATAACGATACCATCCTTGGGGTTATGGAGATCTAGCAAAACCACATCAAAGACGAGGGAAGCTTGGCCAGGAATCTCCTTACCTACAAGAGTGTTAGAGCAGAAAAATCAGTAAGAAACAGCAGGTGTTCTAGTAGAAGCTTAAACATGTTTGTTGAAGAAAAGTAACCTACTGCCAAATATCAAGCACATCCCCTTCCAAAATAAATTAGAATCATAGAGTATCCTGAGTTGGAACAGACCCACTAGGACCATCGAAGTCCAACTCCTGGCCCAGCACAGAACACCCCAAGAATCACACCATGTGGCTGAGAGTATTGTCCAAATGCTTCTTGAACTCTGTCAGGCTTGGTGCTGTGACTACTGCCCTGGACAGCCTGTTCCAGTGCCCAACCACCCTCTGGGTGAGGAACCTCTTCCTAATATCCAACCTAGACCTCCTCTGACACAGCTTCAGGCCATTCCCTCAGGTCCTGTCACTGGTCACCAGAGAGAAGAGATCAGTGTCTGCCCCTCCTCTTCCCCTCACGAGGAAGTTGTAGGCTGCGATGAGGTCTCCCCTCAATGGTACCATATGAAGTCAGACACCTGGACTGTCCAAGGACACTTCTCAGGTTTGAAATAAGTCTGAACCTGAGTTTCGTCCTCTGAGTTCTCCTCTTCTCCAGGCTGAACAGACCAAATGCCTCCAGCCACTCCTCATACAGCTTCCCCTCAAAGCCCTTCACCATCTTTGTTGCCCTCCTTTGGATGCTCTCTAAGAGCTTAATGTATCTCATATATTGTGGTGCCCCAAAACTGCACCCAATATTCAAGATGAGGTTGCACCAGTGCAGAGCAGAGCGGGACAATCCCCTCACTTGACCGGCTGGCGATGCTTTGCCTGACAGCCCCCAGGACACAGTTGACCCTCCCAGCTGCCAGGGCACATTATTCAATTTGCTCATATTTGTTCATATTCCATTTGCCATCAGCCGGGACCCCAGGTCCCTTTCTGCTCTCCAGCGTCTTGTTCACCAGTCTGTCTGTACATCCAGGGCTGCCCCATCCCAGGTGCAGAATCCAGTTTAACTTCATACAGTTGGTGATTGCCCAGCCCTCTAATTTGTCTAGATCTCTCTGCAAATTTGCTTCCAGTCAGTCATTTTTTGTTTCGGTGGGTTTTTCACTCAATTCTCCAAATCAAAAATTTTATACTGCTCGTACTGTGATGGCACTGCCTCACTGAAAACAGCTGTCTCTTCAGCAACACCCATCTTAGTCAATACACACCAGTTCCATCTGAGCTGCATGGTTTAGTCTACCAGTATTCCCAACACACTTCGTGGAAGTGCACAAAATAACCATTAGAATACAAATCTGGTACATCCGCTCCTCCCATCCTGTTAATATCAAAACAGACCCCATGGTGGAAGTTGAAGAAGGACAAATTGAGTATCTCAGTGAAAAACTACTTTCCCATCAATGTACAAATTACAGTGTGGGTTGCTTTGACCAGGAACCACTGAGTTAAAGACCTCAGCAAAATTTTGAAACACAGCTTCACAAAGTCTTGTTATCTATGGAGATGGCTATCACAGTTAATGGCAAAGAAACCATGGAAGGCGTATGAAACCTTGTACACCACAGACACATCCATAAACATCAGAGCAGAGTAAAAATACAAGGAAGAGTCACAAACTATCCTTAACTGCCCCCTCATTTAAAATGGGGAGCTCTGTGTATGATCTGCAGGCTGCTTAGTCTCACAAAACAATTAATTCATCTTGTAGTTATTGCTAAGGCATTGGTTGCAAAAAAAAACCCAAAACTGGAATTAAAAATACCTTTTTTTTTCCCAAAAAGTTTTATGCTTCCTGTGGTGGTCATTGAAAGAACTATGCAGTCACCTGTCTCCAAGTTTTTGGCTCCACTAGATATTAATCACAGATTATATTCCCCAATTGAAATACAATTTCAGCATATAAATACTACAATTATATCAACAATATGTCTGTAAAGCAATTTACTGTTTCATTTTTTTAAAAATCTTGTACTTTCTAACCAATCCAATCCTGTACATAACACATTTTGAACCTCTCTTTCCACCACTTTGTTCTGTCTGTCTGAACTGGGTAATAATGCTGCCCGTAAATTTAAAACATAGAAGGTTGAGTTTGTTTTAAAATACGGTTCGCTTGGATTGAGAAAAAAAAAGGAATAACTAAAGGAATAACTTTTACCATCTCCTTCTTCTCCATATGCAAGGAAAGGTGGTATTGTGATAATGCGCTTTTCTCCTACGCACATTCCCAAGAGACCCTGGTCCATGCCAGGAATCAGCCATCCAATTCCCACATAGGTATCATAAGTTCGCATCCGATTATGGCTAAAAATGAGGGAGAAAAAAAAAAAAGCCCCACAACCAAATGTCAGACAGCCACAGGAAAGGACAAAATCAATCTTTAAATCCACAATGTAACTCACAACTAGCTACTCCAAAAGTATTGGTCCTTCCTTTACCAAGGGCTGGGTGGGTAGAGTTTCCCAGAGAGCTTAGCTATGTCAGGAACCTAACAGGGGCTTTGAAAAGTCACTCACAAATACAATGGTAGCTGTTATTAAAGCACCATTTTCCCCTGAGCTCTGATGAAATACACACACTGTACACTTAAAATCTCAGTAGGAAAGTGTTGGTAGCTTGATTTCATTACAAACTCTGCTTAGCTTATAAAACTTGTATCTAACCTGTATCTATGCTGCAGTGGTTATAGAGACTTTTAACTGACTGCAATAAACAGTAATATAAATACAGACTTTAAAATAAAAAAAAAAGCATCTGTGTTGGTAATGCCCATTCAGAAATAATGTACAGTTTTATTGGGTTTAGTCAGTACTGCTATCCTATAATCCCTGAATAAATTACTAACAGACATATGATGCTAGCTTTCATTTCCTGTGTTTCTGGGCAATGGGCATTAATTGTTACACTGGTGAAAGGGGAGCAAATGATTGTGAGATACCTATTAAGATACACACACACAACACAGCTGCATACCTTGAATCAAATAGGGTTCCATCTAAGAATGTTCCGTTGTAATGGTACCGTACAAAGTCAGACACCTGGACTGTCCGAGGACACTTCTCAGGTTTGAAATAAGTCTGAACCTGCACTTCGTCCTCTGAGTTCCAAAGATCTATCAGGAGCACATCGAAATGGAGCACAGCATTGGGGGGTATCACACCAGCTGCAAAAGCAAAACAACACATCCAGTTTTGTTTCCCTTTTTATACAGGGCATCAGTGAAAAGGAACCAAACCACGCATACCCAAAAAGGAATGATTAATGCACACCTTATTCCTTGTTATGCTTATGACTCTCTGGGCTGTTGCCACTGTTGCAGATATTTAAGGGGGGAAATCTGGCAAGGTGAACTGTTATCAAAGCTATCTATCAAGCAAACTCATCTTGAGTTAGCATTTGTTGCCTCTCTGAGGCTGTAGAACAAAGCTGCTTTTGGCACTGATAAAAACTTGTGCAGCTCTGCAATGCCAAACCACAATAAGTATTTAACAGTGAGGTAGATATAAATAAATAGTGAACTTTAGTAGCAAGGTTTATTTGCTGAAGGTCCTCTACAGTCAACAAATAGCTCTCCCTTCAGCATGCAGAGGGTGTCTGGATAAATTAGCTAGGCTATAGGCTTAACAAACACCCCTGAAGGACAAGGGAGAACCTGTCCAAAATTCAGTACCTGCAATTTCTACCCTTCTCTTCTGCGATTCCATTTTCTATCTCTTCTGCTGGATCACTTACACAACCAGCTATTCATTCACTGGCTCGGGGCTGTACTTACGGACGCCTTCACTTCCGTAGGCAAGCTTAGGGGGGATTTTCACAAACCGCCGCTCATTCACGCACATGCCAACCAGAGCTTTGTCCATCCCAGCAATAAGCTGACCTTTGCCCACAAACACGTTGAATGTGGATCCCCTGTCATAGCTGAAGGGGGAAAAGCAGGCAAAAAGAGTTCATTTACCCCCCATTCGACATTTTTTTTTTTCCTTGAGGGAGAGAGTTTAATTCTACCTTGGTCTCCCTCTTGCCCTGTTAGCAGAATTTCATCGCAAGGCAGCTGCTAAGAAAAGAGGTAAATCCAAGTGTTTCCGAGACTTCAACCCAGTTCTACTTCTGTTCACTGCTCATTGTCTATCTGAAACACATTCTAGCAGTGTGCAATGTGTACTGCAGGCACCCAAAGCCCATAACTACTAACAGCTAATTTACACACTAATATTATAAGCAGTACTGGAAAATTGAGGAAGAAAAGGAAAAATCAAACACTATTATGAGATACAAAAGGATGACTGCTCCCACAGTATAATCTCAGCATATTGATTTTGGTGAGTAACATCACAAAAATATTGCACAAGACTGATAAGCTTTACGATGTGAGACATCACAGTTGGGGAATCTCTGTAGGAGAAAGTGAAAATATGCCTTTTTGAGTAATAGCTGTGAGCTTTGCCAATTGGTTATTTATTTATTTTCTCCTCCACATTCACAGCTCTCATTAAAGTATAGAGACATGTTTTAAACTGCACATTTACCAGATCCAGAAACAAGAGAGCTAGCTAAATGATTCTCCTCTGTGATAATACATAAAAATTCTAAAGGTAAAAGAAATGATACTTAAATTATTTACAGTTTTCCAAAGGGGATGGAGAACAGAAGCGTTACCACAGAAGAACACTAACATCAGCTTAAGTGGTTAGTTTGACCACCTTAAATCTGCACAAGGACCTCACTTTGCTATGCCTGAATTACTGCTGTTATTTAGTTTTTTGAAGTGATGTATAAACATACAACAGAAAGCATTTCAAAGGCTTCATGTCTGTTTTTAAGATTTTACTGCTTCCATTTGCTTGAATTCCTTTTATAATTTCAAGGATTTCTTTTTTTTTTTCTTTTTTAGATAAAAATCAGACCGGGGGGGGGGGAAGTTGGAAAAAAAAAAAAAAAAAAAAAAGGCTTGTGCCTCTTTGCCTGCTAAAATATTTTGGAAAGCAGCCAGTAGCTAGATATTGCTAGGGAAATGATGTCAAACTTTCCTTCCAAGACTGTACACATCACTTCCACAACACACTGAGCCTCCTAACAGTCCCAGACCCTCGAATCTCTCAAATATATTACTAAGCAATCTCTCTGTATGCTCCACCTTTTTTTTTTTTTTTTGTTCTGGCAAACATTTCCCCTAAAATAGACAACCCTCCCTACTGAGCATTCACTTTCGGTTCCACAAATATTCCCACTCCCAGGAAAGGACGGGAAATATTTAAATTAGCTCCTGACATATTCTATTACACACACAAAACCATAATTAAGATGTTAAGATTAGTTACATAACAAGTTACAAGAAACCCCCAAAAACGGTATTTTGTAGCAATTAACAAAGTCTGGCAATGTATCCGGGATGAACTTAGAATAGGAGAGCTTCTTTAATAAAAATAAATGCACAACTAAGAAAACATTGATGTTAAGCAGAGAACTGAACAAAGAAGTGATCAGACCATACAGCTTTGGAGGACTGACTTTGCAGATTCCTTAAAACTAAGCAAAATTCATTTCCATTAGTGGAATTTACCAAATTAATAGCAGATGACTAGGCAATTCAATTCAGACTTTAAAGTGCAAATTATTTTATGGCCATGGAAATCAAAATGCAAATGCTGATGCAAAAGAAAAATAATGAACAGGCATATTAGTTCATTTATGTGACACAGTCGTGATTAGTACAACTTTATCAACAGCCTTTTAACACAAAGAGCAGTATTATTACCTTCTGTTTGGAAATACAGAAAACTAATTTTAAAACTCAAGAACATTTACAACAGCTGAAGAACAAAGTAAAACTGCCCTTAGTTCGACATCTAGAGTATTTTCCAGACTGTATAGTAGTGTTTGATTGAATTAATGCTGGTAAGCACGTTCATAAATTTAAAAAAAAAAGCAAACAAATGAACAGAAATAAGATAGGAAAATGGGCTTTCTAATGGGCTAACTTTTGTATAAATTGACTGAATCTCCTTAACTTGCATGCAGGGAACAGTAAAGATTTTACAACAAACACTCCAAAATATGTCTTCCATTAACCAACAGGACATAAAATCCTCCTACTTTTCCATTGTCTTAACATGATAAACCACTGTCATTACTCTTAAAAAAGACCGCAGTTAGTGAATAATGAAAGTGTACATCAGCATAAGCTGTCATCCAGAAAAAAATCCTGTGCTGAACAAACCTGATGTTTTGCACCCTTTTGAAATTAAGATGGACATAAAAATATTCAAGTTAGACTAGACCATCATCATTACTGCTTATTTACTGATATTTAGAGGACCCAAAGAGACAATTATTGTACAGTTCTGCACAGAACTGCCCCAAATAATTCAGAACCAAATGACAAGGAATTTGGAGCTAAAAGGAGAGCCAGCAGCTGGGTAGCCCCTCCAGGTGCTCTGCCTCAATGCACAAGTTTGCTGGTACAACTCAGGGTGTAAGTAAGCCTCAGTATGTATCTGCAGCAATCAGAAACACACTTCTGAACACGTGGCCGGTTTTCCAATTGTCACATATTTGTAAAATGAGCCACAAGGATGCTGCCTTTCTGTGTCCTCACATCTGCAGCTAAGACTTATTTTCCAAGCCTGTCAGTTGCCAATGAATTCACTGTCCTTGCTGTGCCTTTTCACTGCGACTGCACCAACACCAGCTGAACCACCAGCTACCACATCCCACATTTTATCCAGAGAAGTGCTGGTGAAACGGCACTACTGGCATACTACATAAAGTCAGCTTCAGAGGAAGGGCTGAGCTTACTTTGAAGGATAGTTATTTCCCTAAGGCTGTAGATTTTCCTTGAAGCACAAGGTAGATTACCAGGATTACTGAAAATACATTTTGCTTTATCTTTCTGAGTAATACTTTGGTCAGTGGCAATGAATGAAGCAAGAAAAAACAAATAAGCTGTCAGCAGCATCAACATCCTTCACAATCTCCTGATCCCACTATTTAGGCTTCTTGATGCTAAAATAACAGCAGGAAAGCGGCCAGGCACTTTACTGTACATAGGTCACATTTACTTAAGGGAAACTCATCCAAAAAATTCTATGTAAGTACAGCCTGTTAATTCTTACATTTCTGGCAAGGGTAATGATTCAGAAACGCTTGAGTTCGAGTAGGTTTGAGCCTGGAGAAGACATAGGAAATGTACAGAAAGAAATGGGCAGGAAATCACTAAATACTGTGAGAGACTGCAATACCACATACGCTCCTGTTTACCAGGCTAAGGCTAACAGAATAACCTTATAGTCTTCTCTCGTGGAGCACAAAGCTCCCACTCAATGCCTTGGAGAAGCAGCTGGAAGAACGTCGTGGGGATCCATAAGGGCAAACTACAGCGAACTGGACCCAGCCCTCTGCCCTTTCAGGTTTCAAAGACATCTTCCCATGGTGGTCTGTATGTCCCGCGTTCCCGCTGTACAACACTGCCCATCCTGCCGCTGACAGAATGGTCACACCAAAAGGACCCACGGGGCACAGCTGGGAAAAAGCAGCGGGACCTGAACGGAACCTCAACCGCAGCCTCCGCCCAGCGCCACAACCTCTGCACATCCGCAAGAAACACTCTCGTGGGACCAGGACCTCCCTCTCCCCGCGAAGCGCACCCTCACACCAACCAAACCCCGAGGGGGCCGTCCCCCGCGGCGGGCTCATGCCAGACCTGGAGTCGAAGCGGGTGCCGTCGGGGAAGGCGCCGAGGTAGTGGTAGCGCACGAAGTCGCCGGGGCGCACGGCCCGCGGGCAGCTCTCGGGCACGAAGCGCCGCTCGACGCCGAGCTCGGTGCCGTCCGGAGGGCTTTCGGCGGCGGGCACCGGCGGCGCCTGGCACGCCGCCCAGCTCTCCAGCAGCGCCGGCAGCAGCAGCAGCAGCGACCCGCAGCCGGGGCCCCGCCGCCGGGCCGCCGGCCCCGCCATGGAGAGCAGTGAGCGGGGCAGCCGCGGGGCGCACCAGGCGGCGAGGGGAGGGAGAGAGGATGGAGGGAAGGGGGGGAAACAGGGAAGAGAGGGAAAACGGGCAGGGAGGGAAGGAAGGGAAACCGCCCGCCCCGGCCCGCCCGCTCCTCCTCCCGCCGCTGCAAACTTGCAAACGTGGATGAAGCGCTCCCACCGGGACGGGGGAGGAGCAGCCTGGGCGCCGACTCCCCCCGCCCGGCGCGGGGCTGCGCAGTTCGGAGCGCAGCAGAGCAGCGCCCGCACCGCCGCCCCCGCGGCCGCCCCGCTCCCCTCCCCTCCCGGGGCCGGCGGTGCGACGTGGCGCTGCCCCCGACCGCCCCCCCGGCGCTCCTTCGCTCCCGGGTGTGGCACGGGACACGGGCGGACCCCGAAAGCCCTAAACACTCCCCCGCCCCCGCCATTTCCCGCGGATTCCCCGCAGCTCGTGGGAGCGGTGCTGGACGCCCTGGGAGGGACTGAAGGCACGGCGATTGACCCCACCCCGCATCACGGCTTTTTGTCACTCTGCTTGCACACGTAGTCCGTGCACGACTTCGAGTATTTGCAGGTTTTAAGTCCCAGCGTAAATGTTCCATTGTAGACCAAAAACCTCAAAAATACGAGGTTGTGTTGGCTAATTATGCTTGACATACACCAGTGCTGTCACAGGGATTTGCAGCTCCCTGTCAGGGAAACTTTGCAAATGACATAGAGACAAATCATAGAATCACAGAATTGTTTGAATTGGAAGAGATCATCTAGTTCCAACCTCCCTGCCAAGGGCAGGGACACTTTCCACTAGACCAGGTTGCTCAGAGCCCCATCCAACCCGGCCTTGAGCACTCCCAGGGATAGGGCATCCACAACTCTCAGCAACCTGTGCCAGTGTCTCATCACCCTCACAGCAAAGAATGTCTTCCTAATATCTAATCTAAACCTGCTCTCTTTCGGTTTGAAACCATTCCTCTTTGTCCTGTCACTACACACTCTTGTAAAAAGTCTCTCTCAATACTTCTTGTAGGCTCCTTTCAGGTAGTAGAAGGCCACAATTAGGTCACCCTGAAGCCTTCTCTTCTCCAGACTGAACAAGTCCAATTCTCTTAGCCCTTCATAACAGGAGAGGTGCTCCATCTCTCTAGTCATCTTGACTCACTCCAACAGGTCTGTGTCTTTCCTGTCCTGGTGACCCCAGAGCTAAACGCAGCACTCCAGGTGGGGTCTCACCAGAGCAAAGGGGCAGAATCCCCTCCCTTGACCTGCTGGCCACGCTGCTTTTGATGCAGCCTAGGACACACGTGGCTTTCTGGCTGTGAGCACACATTTCTGGCTCATGTCCAGCCTCTCATCCACCAGCATCACCAAGTCCTTCTTGGCAGGGCTGTTCTTGATCTGTTCATCCTCCAGCCTGTATTGATACCGAGGTTTGTCCCAAGCCAGATGGAGGACTTTGCACTTGGTCTTGCTATGAACCTTTTGAGGTTCCCATGGGCCCACTTCTCAAGCTTGTCCAGGTCTCTCTGGATGGCATCCCATCCTTCAGATGTGTCAACAGCACCACTCAGCTTGGTGTCATCTGCAAATTTGCTGAGAGTGCACTCGATCCATTCATCTATGTCACTAATGAAGTTATTAAATAGCAATGGTCCCAACATGGACCAGTGAAGGGCATCACTTGACTGTCGGGAGCCAGTGACCACTACCGTCTGGATGTGACCGTCCAGCCAATTCCTTATCCACTGAACAGCCCAACCATCAATCTCTCTCTCCACTTTAGAGAGAAGGATGTTGTGGGGGACCATGTCAAAGGCTTTATAGGTGTCCAGAGAAATGACATCTGTAACCCTTCCCTTGTCCACTGATGCAGTCACTCCACGGTAGAAGGCCACTAGGATGGTCAGATGGGACTTGCCCTTGGTGAATCTGTGCTTGCTGTCTCAAATCACCTCCCTGTCCTTCATGTGCCTTAGCACAACTCTAGGAGGCTCTGTTCCATGTTCTTCCTTGGCACAGAGATGAGGCTGACAGGTCAGTAGTTCTCAGGGTCCTCCTTTCTACCCTTTTTAAAGATGGGTGCAATCAGTACCCATCACCAGTTCCAGTCACCTGAGACTTCACCTGCTGCCATGACTTTTCAAATGTCATGGAAAGTGGCTTGGCAACTACATCATCCAATTTCCTCAGGATTCTGGGATGCATCTCATCGGGTCCCACAGACTTATGTACATTCAGGTTCCTGAGGTGGTCATGAACCTGGCCTGACAAGCACCCAGTAAGACACAGTGTCAAAGAGGAATCACTTTCCAAGCCTGCCAGCGATCCCCTTTCTCTCTCTCTATCTTTGATCTTGCACACACCAATGAGGAGGAACTTAGATTTATTCTCTGTTATTCTAACTGGTTTCAGTGAAGAAGCGTGGAAAAGGTAAGTATCTGCACGTGAAGCACCCAACCCCAAGCAAGATGAAGTCAAAATACAATATTTTTGAAAAGAAGAGAATTTTATGGCAGAAGAATTGGGGCAACTGGTTGGAAATGCAAGCACCCTAGGAATATCATTTAAGAAATATCAATGATAAAATTTTGTTATTGACAAATTATTAAACAAGCACAGTGTACTCTTGGACGGACTACTTGCAAAACCACAAAAAAAAAGGGAAGGTGGTGTGCCTGACCATCACAGCAGGGGAGGTGATGGCTCACAGCGCAGTTCCCCATTTTTTGTTCATCCACCACTCAGCTGTACCACCCCAGCAACAGAAGGGACGCAGCCAAAACAAAGGTTTTTAAAGTGCTTTCAAAAACACTCTTGTATAATGTTGATGTATTGCTACGAAATGGCTGCTGCACGATGACCTAACCAGTGAAAAAAGTTGGAAACCTGGGCAGTTATTTAAAGATAACCAAACTTGCAGTTACAAATCACACCCTCCTTCCAGCAATAGTCACACTGCACATTCCAAATCAGCCTTTTAAACAAGCTATGTGAATTGTCTGGCAGTTGCCTGGAATTAGATAGCTTATTTTGATATTGGTTTGTATGGACGCAATTTATTTTCTTAAGGAGAACTCATAGTTCACCATTGGAGTATGTTGATACAACCAACATAAAGATAAAGCTTACCCTGCACTCGGCACTTCTTATTGCCAGGCAGTGACACAGTCTCTATTTATGCACATTTATTTAAGAAGTTCTCTGTTTTCAAAACAATTCCTTGGACTCTTAATATTTATGCAAGTTTTGTACTCATTATTCTTCACCTGTGTCAATAACAGTTCTCCACTTCTGATGTAATTACCATTGCCTCAAGACTGCTCTAAGTGTTTTCAGTTTCATTGACTCCTAAAAGAGCCACGTGTCCATTCTGTGTTACCAAACCTGCTCGCTTCATGCCCCAGTTCCATTTGCCCCAGAGCTCCTGCACATCGTGCCTCTCCATAAGCACACACAGAGCTCAAGGTAGCTGTCAGCCGGGGAGGCACTTTCCTTTCTGTCCTCTTAGTTTTCTTCAGAGATCACAAAGGTAGAGAATGTGCAAATCCAGTCTTTTCTTTAGAAATGTCAGTTTAAACATATTGCTGTTTTTTTCGAAGCACACATGCGCACAGATTCCTATTTACCTGCCTGTTTGTTTGAACACTAACCCACCTGGTCTGGAAACATTTTGGGGGTGCCGATCTCCACCAGGTCTGTTCTTCAGTCAGCCTGACACACAGCCATGACTAACACGGAGTGAGAGGGGAGAAAAGCACAGACATGCCTAAAGCTCCTATAGAAGCTGGCCCAGGAAGGAGGATTATCCTTTCCAGACTTTAAAACACAGTACAGCTGAGGTCCTTTCTCTCTCTGAAAAGTTAGCTTTCAGGAATGTCACAGGTCAGACATTAAATGAGAATTAAGGAGTTGGGATTCATGCTGTTGTATCTCCTTTTGGAGTACACAATGTAATGTTCAAAGGGCTGCAATTCTCCTAGCTTTGGGCTACGTTATATCAGTCTAAAATAGATTCAGTGCTGTTCCCATATCTTTTGAAGGGCAAGGAAGTAAAATGTCAGCTTTCATTGTCTACCTGTGTATCCCAGCAGTGTTACCATTAAGTGTGTCACACCGAGGAGAAATCCAAGAGCTCAAGTTCCAAGAAGGTAGACAAGAAAATTCCTTCATACACTACTTGGTACAAATCATGTCTCAGAAGCACTGAAGAAGGCTGAGAAGCACGCTGATGAGTCACTTCAATTAAAGATTAATTTACGGCAACTTGGGAAAAGGAAATAAAGCCTCAGCTTGGATCTGAGGTAGACAAGATACCACTGGTTTGTAACTTGAGATGCTGTTCTGCTCCTTGGAATGTGCTTGAAGCCAAGTGCCAGGCATTCATGAGATGATGGACCTAATGTAAACTAAAATGTTTGCAACACATTCGGTCACATAAACATGGGAGAGGTTGTGACTAGTGAAATATTCTGCTGAGTAGCATTGGACCTACTCACTACTTAATCACTAACTGTTGTCAATTACCCCTCACACAGCTAAGATTACAGGCCCAAAGATTCAGTCCCTGGATGCCTGAAGTATGTATGTATTGTGCTTTGCTCCAGAGGTTTTCTAAAAAGGTAGCATACTGAGACAGAAAAACAGAGTGGATTTGAAATGTTTTCTAAGTACTCTACCAATTACAGATCAAAGAAAACAGAAGTAGTCCTTTTTTTCTTAGAAAGAATATGTCAAATGCTGCAGCTTGCAGATACCTTGAAATTATGGCAGGCAAATTTAGAGACAACTCAGTTACTAGAAGGTAAAAAGTGAGAGCAATGGGAATCACAGCTTGAACTGATATAGAATCCAGTTAAAAAAAAACAACTATCTGAATTTAATCAGTAGATAATATTCATAAAGATCAAAATGTAATGCTGGTTTTGGCTGTATAATCTACCAGGGGACTGTGAGAAGGGACTCTGAATTATTTTTACCTTCTGCAGTTTCCCAAAGCTGTTCATCTCGTTATGTACTCTCTTTCAAACTTCTAAGCAGCTTTTTAGAGAGTAGTTTTGGGTTACCAAATAATGTGAAAAAAACATTGTGCGCTCTCTGTTGAACTGAATTTCAAGTAAGGAAAGTAAAA